TCTGCACTGTAGGTTACTGTGCCTTCGTCCCCCAAAACTCAGGTGCTGTGGGCATCTTCTAACTGCTCCCACCCTGCAGCTGCAACTGCGAGATTTTGTCCCAGCATCTGGCCCTCTACTTTTCTGGCTAGCATCTATAATGGCTCCATAAACCATTATTTACAACATCCCTTGGTCTGTAGAGTTTGAGCTCAACCTAAAGAAAACCCCAGCACTGCCTTCCGGTGCTTTGATGGTCTTGGAGGTGCTGATGTTGTGAGCTTCCTGTGGTATGAGACCTACACCAAACCCCTTGCTGTGTCCTGAGCCACATCATTGTCTCAGGCCCCTGCCTAGCTCTTTTTTGTGTTGCCCTCTACTTATTTAATCTAAGGATGTCCCATCAACTCTTGAGCAAGGGTGTGACTTCCCATTCCTTATCAAGTCTTTTCTGTTTTTTAATTCAGTTGTCATTCTTGATTGTGACCCAACCAGGAGTTGGGAGCCCTGAGCATGCTCAGGGCTGGCCTGTAGGACCTGCTGCTTGATTTCATAGGATTTCTGACCTAAGAATAGCTAATTACATTTTGGCTTTGTTTTTTGAGACAGACTCTCTATATACCCCTGACTATCCTAGAACTCACTATGTAGATCAAACTGGCCTTGATCTCACAGAGATTTGTCTTTCCAGACTTCCCAAGGGATTAAAGATGTGTGCCACCAAGCCTGGAACCAATTACATTTTTAAGTGGTTGGGTGAATTTTTTAAAAATATCATTTCATGACAAATAAAAATAAATTAAAACCTTCATGTCCATAAATAAGATATGATCCAGTTATGGAAAGTCATTTTCTGACTTTATGGGCTGTGGCTCCTTTGCCTTTATGACAACTTCCTCTATAAAAATCAATCATTACGTTAGTTAGCAAATAAATAAAAATTATGTTTTATTACTTTATTGGTAAAAAGATAAGGTTGGAAAAATTTGTTATGATTTCTCTTTTAATTCTGACTTTATTGACTGGTTTATGAGGCTCTCTCCATAGCCCAGGCTGGCCTGGAAGTCACAGCAATCCTCCTGCCCCAGTCTCTCAGGGTATTAGGTTTATAGGAATGAATCACCATATCTGCCTTTCTTCTATCAAAAGCAAGTAAAATTACGGTACTTTCATAAGTTTCTAATAGTATGTGTGCCTTTTGCATTCTGCTGAACAGATAGATAAGTTGACCCGGCTTTTTAGTATGTCTGGTTGCTCCCGCATTCCTGACGAAGTTGAGCGGATAAAATCGAGATCGTGTCCTCTGCAGAACCCAATCATTTGCCAGGACGTTTACACAAAGTTCATCAGCGCTTGGTACAGCATTTTACAAAGGAGGAAAGAGAGTATCCAAGAGACAGAAAAGCGACTTACCTGGTGACAAGCTATGTGACCCCAGGATTGTAGCCCCAGAGAAAGGATCTGCTCCTGTGTATCCACCTACTCTCATGCTGCCGCAAGGCCTCCCTGGGAGTGTCGGTGCCAGCATCCTGCAGAGTCAGCCAGAGGGCAGGAAGAAGGTCTCTGGGCCTCACAGTTAAGTTCTGCAGGGCCTTGAGGATGGACCAGATAAAAAGCAAGCTGAGCTCTCCGTGCAGCTGCCCTCCTGTATGGTAATTTGATAAGGCGATGGCAATCAGTGCTCTTACAAACCCTGCTTTGTGCTTATCGTAATACCCCTCAGGAGGAAGGTTGTGACCGTATGAGATGACTGAGTTCCTTTGATCCACAACCTGGTATGACTGTCACACATTGAGGTTTACACACTCAGCTGCAAGACTTTAGGCATCTTGTTCTGGCCATTGCAAGGCAAGCGAAGATGGAAGGGCGGGATTCTGCTGAGTCTGATTCCAAAGCCCTGTATGGAAGCGTTAAATGCCACCCCTTCCCTTGGTGGCTTTGACCTAACAAGAGGCTAAGGCGCGGGGTTCCTGAGGCCTCAGATCTTCCTGCCTCTTTTTGTACACACGCCCTCTTTCTCTCCGTTCCATCTCCACACCTCCCTCTCCCTGGACGTTTTCTTGACGATTTCTCCCACTTTGTGCCCATTCCCACAACGGTTTCCTTCCTGGGGTCTCCGCAAGGAAACCTCTGTGACACGAAACTCTGACGAAGTCTCTCTTCCTTCAAATCTTCTTATCCTCTCTCTAGACAGGGTTTCTTTGTGTAGCCTTGGTTGTCCTGGAACTCCCTTAGTAGACCAGGCTAACCTCAGACTTAAGAGACCCGCCCGCCTCTGCCTCCTGAATGCGGGGACTAAAGGTGTGTGTCCCCGTGCCCAGCTCGATTTGGCTTCTCTTAACAAGGCTTCCAAGTATTCCCCAAGGATCTCCCTCCCCTGCCCCAGCCTTCCCAATGTACTAGGCTTCCTGTTAGCAGGACTCTGGTGCCAGGTCTTCCCACTGCCTTCTTTACCAAATTAACATCTGCATCCTAACCTCATCTGACATTGTTTGCTGAAGGCCCTACTTTCTAATACCGTTATGTGGATTTAGGGGCATTAGCATTTGGTGCACACCAGAGAGTTCCTATGCACTCCTCTTGGCCCAGCTCTCCTACTATATCTTAGGCGACCCAGGCAGCACTAGCTGCTATCACTTTTAGGCATTCCTTTCTCTTTCTTGTCTTCTTCGGTGCCTTGGACTCTACTGTCTTACTCACTGTATTGGCACGTGAGTGTTTTTCTCTGTGTTCCTCTAGTCACCATGAGCCTTCCAACCCCATGCCTTGTACAGCACCTGGGACTCTAGGACACATCTGGTGGGGGGTGGGGACAGACACGGACCGCAACACCATCTTTAGGGCATGAGGTCTGGATTGGCTATTCTGGGGCTACGTGGCCTTCTTCTAGTCCATGAACATACCAAGTCTGCCTATAAAACACGTGGACGTGTTTCCCAGTCTCCGGGCGCGTTTCCACATGACACTTCAGCCAAGTAAAGCAAATATCTTGTACTCTTCTGAAGCCACACCTGTGGTTTTAACCTGGGGACAATGGCAAGGACTAGGAGGTGATAACTCTTGCGTGCACAGCTGACACTTTATCTGCCTGATCTGTTTACTAAGAAGCTTTGTACGTGTCCACACCTAACATTAAACACAGGGCACGCATTCCGAGGTTACTACCAAGCATGAAGGCGTTTCTATGAAACGTGCGCATTTCTGAAAGTTTATTCGCTTAAGACTTAACCACTAAAAGTCACATCACGTGATTAAAGAGTTTATTTAAAACTTGTTAATGTTTTACGAGTGACCCAAGAGGCCTCCTAGACCAGCTGATGTAAAATGTTCCCTATCCAGATGGTTAGTTATAATCAGGCTACGGAGAGAGCCCAGACAACAGTAAAGCACAAAAACCCAAGTTCCGATCCCCAGCACTCATGTTAAAAAGTGCTGAATTATATTATATTATTATGATATAATTATAATAATATTATAATTAATATTATATTATTAAATATAATTATTTATATTTAATTAATCATTGAGTTAATTATTCAATTAATAATTAATTAATAATTAATGAATTAAATTATATTATTTAATTATATTAAAATATTGAATTATACTGTAATCCCAGATTTGGGGAGGCAGAGACAGGAGGATCTCTCAGGCTTTCTGGCCAGCCAGTGTAGCTGAATTAAGCTCCAGGTTCAGCAAGAGACCCTGTCTCAAAATAAATAAATAAAATAAAGCAGAAAAGCAACTGGAGAAGTCTGTCCTCTACACACACACGCAACACACATGCACCGGCTGACACACCTACATGTGTATACACAAAGTATAAACTCACACACTCAAATGAAGAAAATGTAAAAATAAGGAAAGTTGTCTTTAAAACAAAAATTCTGAGCTGAAAACTTGGTTCAGAGCCCAGCCTTTCCCCACTGTTCGCTCCCCTCCAGTCCCTGCACGTGGGTCTCACTGAGTCAGGCTGAGCCTGCTTTCTGTGCTTCATCTGTGCCCAGCATGGCTCTAGGTGAGCCCCTTTCTCCTCTCTTCTGTGGTTCCTTCCTGCAGCACAGCTCTGAGAAGATGACTTCAGACTCTGAGCTTTTAGCCGTCCCTTCTCCCCTCACCCCCCGTCCCACACACACTTACAATTCAACATGAACTTTAACCTCAAAGCCCGGGGCTGCTCACTGTGAAAGGGTCTCCCTCTGTGGCCCCAGTTCTTCCCAGTCCCAGTCCTTCTACTCTCTACTGTATCCACTGTGTAGGGATTCACGGCCTGCACTGAACCTGGGGTTCTCAGTTGGCTAGTCGGCTGGCCGATGAACCCCATGGGTCCTCCTGACTCCCCACTCCCTTACCTCCAGGGCTTGGGTTATAGGGATATCACACCACACCTGACTTTGTGTATGGGTGCTGGGGATCAAACCTCAGGTCTTTATGCTTGCAGGGCAAACATTCTAGCGACTGAACCATCTCTGTAGCCTGACACCCTTTTTACTTTGGGAAATAATCTATTAATCTGTGCGTGATAAGCAATGCCAGATAGGAAGTGGTGTTTGTGTGTCCGGCAAAGTGCAGACTCATCCTGTCTTTCTGTAAGATGGAGTCACTCAGGACAAGGTCCACTCTGAGAAATCAGTTTATATAATATAGGGTAAACTTAGAGCAGGGCCCAGCCTGATCTCAACAGTAATACACACCCAGTGTGTTCACCACACATACACACCATATCTGGGTGCTGCAGGCTGATATTCAAGTTCATTATCTCATTTAGTCTTGTATCTACTCTATAATAGAGGCACCATGATCATTACAGATAAGAAGAGAGGATTAGGGAGGTGAAACCAATGGCAAATCTCTGATTATATACAGAGACAGGATTCAACTCCAGCAACAGGGAGGGGAGTGAGCCCAAAATGGTGACGTTACCTACTGGGAAGGGGGCAGAGGAAAATGAGGGACACTGAGTTCGTCGGCATCTGTAGCTTTAAATGGCTTTGGACTGACAGAGAGTATTCTGTGCTCAGGGCCATGATGATGACCGCCTGTGACCTCTCAGCCATCACCAAACCCTGGGAGGTGCAAAGCAAGGTATGGACGCTTTCTATCCTGGCAGAGAGGGGGCTCAGTTTGCTGACCACAGTTAACGAAGCTGGACCCTTTTAGCCCAACTCTACTTTCTTGGTCACTCCAATGACAGATAGGAGTACCAGGGAAGGCGGGGGGGGGGTTCCCCTTTCACTGAGCTTGAAACACAAGTGAGGTGGGAATGGGGGCAGGAGGGTTTGGGTTCTGCACATGTGACTGGGTCCATCTGTTGCAGGTAGCTCTGCTGGTGGCTGCTGAATTCTGGGAGCAAGGTGACCTGGAGCGCACGGTGCTGCAACAGAATCCCATTGTGAGTAGAGAGGGGGTGTCAGCCAGTACAATTTCTTCCCGACCCAGAGACGTGATTAATGACACAGGGCTGTGGCCTTACCTCGGGATGATCTTTCACCAGCATAGTGGTTCTCTGAGATGGTACATAGGCTGCATTCAACCTCATTCCTTGAGAACAGAACGAGGACCAGAAATGCGTGCGCTAGCTACCATTACTCACCCGCCTGCAGTTGGAGGGCCTTGCTGTCAACATGTGGGTCCTTAGCACCCTCAGCTAATTGGAGCTTGGCCAGTGGACACCAAACTGATTGCTCTTGATACAGGAGTGTAGGATCACTTACCCTGGCTCTGTTCTAGCTGTACAGAACCAGCTAGGGGAAGCCTATCTACCTGAGAACTTATCTCACCACTGAGAGCTGATTTGACCGGGTCAGTCAGCTGGCTTCTGACAGTTAGGAACTGTCTCCAAAGCGTGGAGTTCTGAAGAAAGCCTGGGGAGGGTGAGTAAAAAAGACAAAACACGGACGGGAGACAGACTGAACTCTAGAGTGCCTAGGGTGTGTGGATCACCGTATCAGCCCTCAGCAGGAGTCCAGGGAGAGGGAAAGGCAGGTGGAACACAGAGAGTGTGGAAAGGGGTGCTAAGAACCCCAAAGATTTGTTGTCTTCTCTCCTCCATCCTCTCTTGGCTTGCATTTTCCTGTCTCAGGTAGATGTTTAGGATCAGGGCAAAAACCAGTCACCTTCTTTGCCAAAATATCATTAAGAATGGCCTCTAGACCACTTACTAATCTTCTCCTCTGAAACCCCTTGAACTGTCATAACATACATTGCTCTCGGCACCACTGTCTTCTTTGTTTGTTTTAATATTTTACAATGCAGACTGAATAGTTAGCGATCTCCTTGTACCATTAGCCAGAGTCAACAATTAACAAAACTTGCCTTTCTTGTTTTACCCACTCTGCCCAATGCTCCTCCCACCCCTTTCCTTTGGACTCGGGTATTTGATGTGAATCCCAGACTCGGCCATTTCTTCCTAAATGCTTTATCACTAAGAGAGAAGATTTGATTACAGATTAAAAAAAAAAACCACAAAACAAAAACCAAAAAACAAAAACCAAAAAACAAAAACCATAGCTAGAGTCATCACCATTTCATGCTTACAACACCAACAGCAATGCTTGACCAGTGGCTCATTCCCAGTCTCTGCTCATTTTCTCTGAGAGAGAAAAAGAATTCTGTTGATTTGCCCAAATCAGAATCCAGACAGTGTGACTCCAACTCTGAAGTCTCGTGGAGGCAGCAACAGGCTGCCCTAGCCTTCCTTTCTTCTTCCCCTCTCTCCCTCCCTCCCCCTACCTCTTCCCTCTCTCCCTCCCTCC